TGCTGAAAGTAACCTAAGTGCCCATCAGTAAATGAATGGACCAAAAAACTATGGTACATTTACACAGTGGAATACTAACAGCAGGAAGAAAGAAGGAGCTCCTGCCTTTGCAACAGCATGGATGGAACTGGAGAGCATTATGCTAAGTGAAATAAGCCAGGCAGTGAAAGACAAATACCATATGATTTCACCTTTAAGTGGAACCTAATCAACAAAACAAACAAGGAAGCAAAATATAACCCGAGATGTTGAAATTAACAACAAACAGACAGTAACCAGAGGGGAGATGAGAGGATAATGGGGGGGAAAGGGTGAAGGGTTTTCAGGAACACATGGACACATGGACAAAACCAAGGGGGAGGGGTGGAGTCAGGGGAGGGGATAGCTGGGGTGGTGGGGAGTGGTGGGAGGAAAAGGCAGACAACTGTACTTGAACAACCATAAAATACAAAAATAGAAAAATAAATTTAAAAAATCAACCCATAAAGTTAAATAAAAAGTTTAATGTTATGTTGGTTTGAATGTTTGTGTCCCTATCCCCCCCAATTCTTTTAAGTATATTTTATTAATTATGCTATTATAATTGTACTGATTTTTTCCTCCCCTTTATCCCCCTCCTCCCTGTGCCACCCCCTCACCTTCCAGCTTCCTCCCCCACCACAGTTCATGTCCATGGTTTATACATATAAGTCCTTGGCTTCTACATTTCCTACACTATTCTTAACCTCCCCCTGCCTATTTTGTGCCTACCTATTCTGGTTCTTATTCCCTGTACCTTTTCCCCCCACTCTCCCACTCCCTCTCCCCACTGATAACCCTCCTTGTGATCTCCACTTCTGTGATTCTGTTCCTGTTCCAGTTGTTTGCTTACTTTTTGTTTTTTAGGTTAAGTTGTTGATAGTTGTGAGTTTGTTGTCATTTTACGGTTCATAGTTTTGATCTTCTATTTCCTATATAAGTCCCTTTAACATTTCACATAATAAGGGCTGGGTGATGATGAACTCATTTAACTTGACCTTACCTGGGAAGTACTTTATCTGCCCTTCCATTCTAAATGATAGCTTTGCTGGATAGAGTAATCTTGGTTATAGGTCCTTACCTTTGATGAACTCCTTTAACTTAATCTTACCTGGGAAGCACTTTATCTGCCCTTCCATTCTAACTGATAGCTTTGCTGGATAGAGTAATCTTGGTTATAGGTCCTTACCTTTCATGACTTGGAATACTTCTTTCCAGCCCCTTCTTGCCTGTATGGTTCCTTTTGAGAAATCAGCTGATAGTGTTATGGGCACTCCTTTGTAGGTAACTCTCCTTTTCTCTTGCTTTTCAGATTCTCTCCTTATCTTTAATATTGGGTAATTTAATTATGATGTGCCTTGGTGTGCTCCTCATTGAGTCCAATTTCTTTGGGACTCTCTGGTCTTCCTGGAAGTCTATTTCCTTTGCCAGATTAGGGAAGTTTTACTTCATTATTTGTTCAAGTAAGTTTTCAATATCTTGCTCTTGTTCTTCTCCTTCTGACACTCCCATGATTCGGATGTTGGGATGCTTAAAGTTGTTCCATAGGCTCCTAAGCCTCTCCTCATTTTTTAGCATTCTTGTTTCTTCATTCTGTTCTGGTTGGATGTTTATTTCTTCCTTTTGTTCCAAATCATTGAGTCCTGGTTTCCTTAATTTCACTGTTGGTTCCGTATATATTTTGCTTTGTTTCACATTGTGTAGCCTTCATTTTTTCACTTTGCAGCTGAGCTCAATCAATTCTATGAACATCCTAATTACCAGTGTTTTGAACTCGGCATCAGACAGATTGGCTGCCTCCTCATCACTTAGTTCTATTTCTGGAGTTTTTATTTGTTCTTTCATTTGGGCCATATTTCTCTGTCTAGGGGCCTCTGTTACATGTAAGGGGGTGGATCCTAAGGTATTCACCAGGGCTGGGCAACCCTCTTTGCTGCATTGTGGCGCTGTTTGTGGGGGAGGGGTCTGAGAGGGAACAATGGTGCTCTTGTCCCACTTTCTATGATTTCCCTAGTTTCCCACAAGCGGTTTGTACCCTTTCAGATGCTGATTCGCAGGTAGGTGGGTTTGTGCATGTTTTAGTACCCTGTGAGTCTTTCCAATGAACTTTCCTGTCAGGTTGGGAGTTTCTTCTGCTGCCACAGTCCCCACAGATTTTGTAATGCCTGTGGTTTTGAGTCTTCAGTTTCCCAGCACTGACAACCTGGGGTTCAAGGTCTGTCTCACCCCCTCATTGTTCCCCTGGGCTTGTCTGAACTTGAAAGTGGGATTGCCTGCCCTGGTCTGCCAGCAGCTGCCACCTTGCTTCTTGTCCTCTCTGCCCATTTCCACCCCTCCTACCATCTGGATGAATATTTCTTTAACTCCTTGGTTGTTAGACTTCCATGCAAGTTTTTCTGGCAGTTATGGTTAGTTTTTAAATTGGTTGTTATCCTTCTTTTGGTTGTGTGAGGAAGTGAAATGTTTCTGTCTATGCCTCCATCTTGGTCAGAACCTTTCAAATACTTATCCTAGCCCCCAAGTTGAAGGTATTGGATGGGCCTTTGTGAGGTGATTAGATCACAAGGGTAGAGTCCTCATGATTGGTATAGTGCCCTTATAAAAGAGATCTCAAGAGGACAGAGCAAGAAAGCTCCATCTATGAACCAGGCAGTGGACTCTCACCAGACCCAGAATTGTGGGATTCCCAGTCTTCAGAGTTATAAGAAATACATTTCTATAGCTAATAAGCCAACAGGTCTGAGGTATTTTGTTACAGCAGTTCCCATGGACTAAGACAAAAGGTTATTTGTATTTATATTTCATGTCTTGTGTTTTATCTGAAGTATCTGTACTACCTTTTATTTTTATTTTGTTAAAGATCTTTATTTCTTTTTAGAGGGGACAGGAGGGAGAAAGAGAGGAAGAGAAACATCAATGTGTGGTTTCCTCTCAGGACCTGGCCTGTAACCCAGGCATGCACTCTGTACTTCTCAGGCCAGCACTCAATCCACTGAGACACACCAGCCAGGGCTGTACTACCTTTTAAAACCCAGTTCAAATACCACCTACTTTATGCCTTTAGGTAGGTAAAGGAGATATTATTAGAGAAAAATGTAAACTGTAATACACAGGTAAGGATATATATCTAAAGTATTATTATGAAGCTGAGCCTTAGAGATTTTAGCACTATTCCTGCTCCCTGCTCAGTGATGACCCCATCTTCTCCTCACCTCTCCCATATTTGGCAAATTAGTCCCTTAGTCATCAATATTGCCAGAATAACCAAGAGCTTAAAAAACTGCATCTGCACAACTGAGAGAAACTAATTCAGTTTTTATTAACAAATAGGATGCTACCAATTCCTTCTCTACGTTGAATCTGTGATCATTCTGGTATTTGAGATTTTAAAAGAATGGGGAGAGATTTCATTTACTTCAAAAGTCATTTATTTAGCTCCTATCATTAAATAAAGACCCTAACCTGCCAATACCTAACAGCAATCATCATTTATTATCTGGATTACCAAGGCTTCATTGAGCTTAGTCTTGCTTGCCTCAGTGCTACTTTCTACACAAATGCTAAGTGTTATTTCTTAAACACAAATCTGATTATGTTGCTCCTTCTGTAATTTCCTACTGTCCTCAAAGTCAATCACAAGAGGTATACCTGGCCTTTCATGGACTTGTCATGGCCTAAAAAGTCTACTGTCTCATCCCTTGCCACTCTCTGCCCTCATCTCCAGCCTCCAACCCACACCACTTTTCAAGGAACACTTTGCTGTTTTCCAGAAACCTCCTCAAAGATATTCAAGCTAGTACCTTTGGCCATTCCTGCTTCTAAAACTGGCCAACTCCTTCAAGACAGCTCCCTAAATATCTGTTTAAGAGGGCCCCCAAATATGTATTAGGTGCTCCTTCTATGTGCACTTCCATAATTTGGAAATATTTATATTGTATTTTTTCTAAATTTCTGATTATAAAAAACATCTTTACTTTAAAAAACTGCAAAAAGTATATAACGAATGATAAAATGAGAGATCACCAACTCCACCACAGGTAATCACTGCTAAAATTTTTATGTATCTCTAGCCCCTCTCTGTATCTTCATCTATATATCTCTAATTCATAATACACACTGATTTGTAACACTTTCTTAACACTATACCCTAATCATTTTTCTAAGTGGATACACATTGATTTAAATCATCCTTTTTATTGGCTACACTTTTTCACTGTATGAGAATACCAACTTAACTCTATTGGAGGGCCTGCCTTTACGTTTCTTTCTTTCTTATTATATAAAGCATAGTTGTATCCTAACATTTTTTAAAGAGACCCTTGAGCTATCTTTCATTTTAAAATTCCCAGTGTCTGACATACAGTATTTATTAAATGAGTTCCGTGTAAAGGATGAACTTAACTTTCTAGTTAACACTGGGAACAAAAAAATCAAACTGTCTTCCACAAGCATCAGGTTCAATACGTTATTTTCTTAACCTTTGCCAATATGCTCCGTTGAATTAACCTATTAATCAAAACGTAGAATAATTGCTTTAAATTCTTTCTGAAAAGAGGCAAGTACAAACAATACACAAAGACAACGTAATTAGTAACTATAAGACAACAGCTGGTGTCCCTTCCCGATGTGGCAGAGGAAGAAAGCCTACGACCTTGACATTCCGCCGGGCACAGCGTACTCGCCAGCTCCTAAGGAACTCAACCAAGATGAGACAAAAGTCAGAGGATCTATGGCGGCGGCCCGCGGGCTGCGCTCTCCCCGGCCAGCACAAATTCTAGGCTATTTTTCCCAGCCTCTGGGAAGAGAAAAGCGACAGCCCAGAAGGGCCATTTAAGGGACAGTGAGAGCCGGACCGAAAGTAATCAAGGGTCTTTTAAGGATCCCGCAGGGAGGCCAGCGACAGCCCTCCTCTCTCCCGCGCCTGCGCACAGTAGCTGTTACGCGCGGCGGACTGTGTGCGGGAAACCTCCACACTTACTTACCCGCCGACGTGGTTAAGCGAGAACAGTCAGCTTGTGTACCCTGACACCCCGACTTAAACACTCCTAAAAAAAGACCCCCGGAGGAGCTTAGCTTGCGGGTTCCCCACATCGCGCGTAGAGGACCAACCTCTTTTCCGGTCCCTCCTGCAAAAGATCCCCAACAGAAAGGTTCCGAGATGCACTCTCGCGCAGCCAGGAGTCAATCAAATCATGGTTGCGTTATTAGTGGTTGTTATATTTATATGGACTAGTTATTTCTCACCCTCAACATGTCAGATTGTGCATGCATTTAATCTATAGAATGTTCCTATCATAAACGAATTCAAGATCCTTCTATTATGCCTATTCTTTGACCGACCTCCTCAAACCTCATGGCCGAAATAGTCTTCAATCATGGTACTGCTTTGGTCTGTGTGACCTAGCTTTTCTTTTATACCCTTGTAGCTCTACTTCATATATAAAAGATGTCTCCTAGGGCATTTATATTCCTGTAATACACTTTTAGCATCGTAAAAGCATGTAAGCACTTCTCTAAAGGTAGAAATGTGTCCATTTTTAAGGTATTCAAATGTCAGAGGGCCAGAAGTCTAATTGAGTATTTTCTGCAAGTGATCTGAAAATATTCTGAACACACATTATACAGGAGACTGTTAATTATTCAGGTTAGACAAACTTCATTTAGAGTAAGAACGATGATTATGTAACATTTTACCTCTAAATGCATAAAAGCCTTTCCTTTGGTAAGAACAATTAATTTCCAATATTAAAGGTAAAAATATGATTGTACATTTTCAACAGGAAGTGTCAAATTGGTGAAATGTTGTTTGAATTATTACAATTTACATAGCTCAGTAATGGTCTTTCATTTATGGCTTCTTAGTAAAATATTGACCTCCTCCTAAGAGTGGCTGGGTACTTGAGTCATCTCTTCAGAGCTCCTTTCTCAAGACAGCAGAAAGCTCTCCACAAAATATCGTTTAGCATGAGTAATATGTATTTGTTGGGGTGACAGATCCAAGGAAAAAAAGCAAAGTCCAAGTATAATCAAATAAAGTTCTAAGAGCTTTATTTAAATGTACTCTTTTTTTAACGCACCACCTCACTGGGCTTCAGATCTTTCTCACATTTTCAATTCAACAACAAAAACAATCAGTAATTTGTTTCTACTAACAGAAAACAAAAGCTTCTTGAATACCTACTAGTGTGACTCAGGCAAAACTAGTTCATACTATTTTTCTCTACAAATATTAAAAGGTTTTTCCAATGACACTTAAACCTGAGTTGTGTTGGAAGAACTAGCAGTTGTTACGTGGTATATAGCCATTGTTGGAGCCATTATTCCCTACACGAACACTTTAGTATCACCCATAAATGTGTTATCAACTAGTCTACATTTCACTATTAAAACTAAAAATCTACTTAGTATTTTGAAATTCAATTTTATATAAACATTTTTCATTTAAGGGTAACGTGCTCCCTTAGAACAGTTTTATCCCTTTAAAATGATACACTACTATATTCACTCAGAGTTTAAGTGGTAAGTTTTCACATTTACAAAATTACACAAAAATTGGTAACTAGAATTGTTAGGATAATTTTATCTTAACTTACCATAATCAAATTGTGGCAGATTTAACCTATGTGTGTTTATAGAACTCTGTATCTGATAAGCCTTTATGGTATAAATGTAACTCATCATACATGAGTTATTTTACGACTAATAAAAAGACCATTTTCTCATTCAGGTTTAGGCTTTACAATCAAATTCTACTTTCTATTGAAGAACTTAGGGCTTTTAAGTGTCAAAATTTTGGAAATAATCTAATTCTACCCTTATACAGTTGAAGAAATTAAGGCCCATAATGATTAGTTATTTGCCCAAAATACATCAAATAGCAGAGCCAGGACAATCCAAAACATCACTATTTCCATTAGACCATGCTTAGTACCATTTTAGAAACTTCACTAAATTAAAATAGATTTTTATATATATATGTATACATATAGTATATATATATGTGTGTGTGTGAGAGAGAAAAGCACTCAGTTTAAATGAAAAGATTTCCATAAGACAATTATTATAGGGACTTTGGAACTTACTTAATTCCTATGTAAATATTCCCACATAAAATTAGAAATCTCACTTATAATTAATTATACACCATGTGATTCTTTGAAGAAACAGAGTAATTCCAATACTAAAAAAAATGATTATGTTTGGGAAATTCACCTGTTGTGTATATACCATTAGAAACAGATGCTTAAAAAAAGGCATTTTACAATGGCAGAAAACATATACACTAAGATTCCACACCAATCTTTATTTGTATTTTGGGGCCTGAAACAAACTTATAATTACCTCTTCCAAATTACATTTTATTCTCTTAATGGTGTGGTTTACCCCATTCCACAAAAACAAGTATGACTAATACACTAGAAATATTTTTTAAAGAACCTCTTAGACCGTTTTTATTAATCAATCCAGATCAATGATTGTCTCAAAAACTGAATCTATTAATATTCTGGTGGTGTCATTTTAGAAGACTTCATAATCAAATTATATTATTTAATTAACTTATGTGTAAGTTTTAGCACTCACATCCCAAACCGTGGAAGCCCTATCTTATAGTCTTACCACTCAAGGTAAACATACTTCATTACATGTCAATGAAATAATGAATTTTCTGAATTATCCATAAAAATCTGAAAAACCCAAATATTTAATTATAAACACTAATATGTCTACTAATAATCACACACACCATGACTGTGTTCTTAAAAGTATCTATAGATTTAAATGATAAGAAGCTTGTGTATTACAGCAGAGTAAACTAAATTGTCAAATACTATTTTTGGCTCTAGTTCATATCTTGCCCAAAAATGTGCATATCATAGCCAGCAGAACTTTTCTGTAGAATTTTATTTTGAAAATATTATTTCACTTGAAGATTGATCTAAAAAACATTTTAAGATATGAAAATGTTATACAACTTATCTATTACAAATTAATTGAATACTTCTACAATTAGGTATACCGTGTTACCTCACCTACATAAAAAATATTGCACACTTTATTTTGTCTTTACTGATGTCTAAACTATATAGAATTCTAAACTATTTAAAAGTTATTCTGTGAAATGTTGACTTTATAAATATCAGAACTAAATGCACTGTAAAAACAACCATTTTGGTAAACATGCATTTATTCACAGTTGATTTATTTCCTCTAGATAAATGCATAAGCTGTTCAAAATTATTCAAGAACTTATGTAGAGGTACAAGAGCACACTATACAAATCTATTTTCTACCTTTGTTTTGAGAAAACACTGATCTTGGCAAAAATCTGGCTTATTTTAAATAAATTATTGCTGGTAAAAAGGCATACTTTAAAACATTTCTGTGACCTGTACCTGCTCTTTTCTCTTTAAGATTTAAAAGCATTTGTTTTCAGAGATTTTTCAGAGACTATTGTGGCATAAGTGAATAATCACATAAAAACAAACCCTGAAAGCAGCTGAACATTAGAATGCCTGTGGAGCCTTCATTTTATTCGTAAGTTATGATTGCCTTAAATGGCTAAACCACTCATTGAGCCTAATTTTAAGAAACTGACAAAACCAAACCATTTCAATGTTATCAAACTGACACAAAGCCTGCATAAAACAGCATTCCGCCACTGAGCTGAGGTCATATTATACTTTAAAAATATAAATAAATATATTGAACTGTGAGTCTTATTTCTATAATAAACCCCAAAGTGTTTAAAATATGCTTCTAAAACAGAAGTGGGTGACTGCAGAATGTATTTCCAGACTTGACTATTAGTGTCAAACACAATCATTCCTTATAAGTAACTTTGATTGGTACACTGGCTCGAATGAATCCAGCAATTTCATTTTACAGGAGTGAACCATACTTTATACAGAGAATATATTACTTGAAAATCCCCCAAATAGCAAAAGTTTAGAAAGCTGTCAAGTGATTCCAAATGAAAAGTAAAGATCTGTTTCTGGCCCTCTTCCATACCCTTAAAATTGGAATTTGACAAAAATCCATGGGTACAATTTACAAGCTTTGACAAACTATTGAGATAAACCATTTTCATTGGGGCAAATGGGAGGAAGTACCTTTAAAACTTGTTATACAAAGTTCCAGCTGCCTTTTTGTAAAAGTACGTTCCTTAGAATAAAATCATAAAATTAAGGTGCAAGAGGTTAACAAAAATGAACTAAAGAGCTTTATTGACATCACAGTACATTCGAGAATAATTTTAAGAACATTACAGCTGAAAGAGAATGGCATGTTTATAGTCTTATTGTGCACTATTTTTTGGAAAAAAAAAAAAAAAAAGGAATACAAAGAAATCCTATTAACTTGAAGCAGCATTTGGAAAAAGTATACCTATATACAGATAAAAAGAAAATTCTGGTTTCACCTACACAGCCACAATGTGCCTCTATAATGAGACAAGCCCTTAAAACTCATGGAATTTTTTAAACATCATGGCATTCTTGCCACATCATTCCTCAGCGTTTACGACGGGGAGGGGTTGCTGATCTGCAAAAAACAAAACAAAACAGGGAAAAGACAAAATTTAAAAATAAAAATGTATTTTTAACTAAAGAATGCAATTTTTAAATAAATAATATTATATAGGATTTCTAAAATTACTTAAGACTATGATCATTTATCAAGTACCAAACTGAGTTTATTAAAGAGAGAGAGAAAGGACACTTTCAACTTTGAATAAATTCAGTCAAATTTTTTAAAAATCAGACAAAATACTTTAAAAAGTATACTACCTTGATCGGGACTTAGACTTGTGTTTGCGGCTTGCCTTCTTACCAGACCTTTGAGATTTCTCCATGGATCGCGATCGACTATGTTTAGGCTTCTTAGCCTTCTTTTCTTTGCTACTTCCTGGAGATTCAGAACTGCTCCTTCCACTAGAATCAGAGCCTGAATGTTTTTTACTATCTTTGGTAGTACTTTTCTTACTATCTTGTCTAGAATCATGTCTGATGATTTTAACAGAGATAGAACCACTCCTAGAGAATGTTCTTTCACTTTCTCGTTTCCTTTTTAACCTATCATCCTGACTACTGAACTTAAAATCTTTTTCTTCCCTTTT